TGATCATTCGTCTACCACATGCTTGTATCCACAGTAATGCTATTCCATTATTCTGACGATTTTACTGATCTCCTCAATATACGAAACGTAATAGGATTTTTACTGTTATTTGATAATAGAAATTGAATTAATGTTTTTATTCAAATCTATCTTTTATAGCCTTAATTTTAATGCTGTACTCTATTTATTTACATAACATTATATTTTGAGATATTAATCTTTCATTTTTTATTTGAACAAAAATCTTTGATGTATTTGAAGGAGCCGCGAGTTTTGTTGGTTGGTAAATAGTTTTTATAACTGATAAAAAGAAATGTCTGGTTCTTTTAACTAAGAAAAAATTACAAATATCTCTTTAAATAAACTCACAAAATTTAAATATTTCTAGAAAAATGTTTAAACGACAAAATCTTTCTCTTTCTATCACAAACATTATTCAAGAAATAAACACAGCAATAGACAATTACTGGTTGGAATGCCAAAGATACCTATAAAATAGGAGAAAATTAGGTATTGCGCCCTAATTGCTTGCAATGTTATCACATGAATAGCAAAAATCCTATTAGTATGCTTTTTTAAATAATTCTCTTAATTTATACTTCTAATATTCGTTTAGAAGTCGATAGATTTAAAGTTTGCTTATTTAACAAAGGATCAATAAAATGTGATTTTAAGTTTAATGAAATTAAACTTTATGTATGCATTTCAGGAAACTTCGTTGGCATAGGCCAAGAGTATTAAGGACACTTTATAACACACTCCTTCGTTGTTATGGCCGAGTGTGGACGATTGTAATCATTCTCCTGGGAACGATTATAACGAGTTACAACTGTACCAAAAATAAATCATTGGCATTTCCCATTGAGTTCTATTCTTACAATTTCCGACACGACAAGAATCTAAATTACCAAAGTCTACTTGATTTTATTAATTATTTATAAGTATTTTAAGGTAACAACTTTCTATATGATGCAATATTTAATTTATAAAACTGCATGAATAATTCAGACTTTCGACTGAAACTATAAAACGGAAAAATCTGTCCATTATGGTAAGATGAGTTTAAATTAATATATTTTTTTAAAAATTGACTAGTGGGTGTGATCTAAAAAATTATAGGGTTATAAGTACTACTAATTAAATTAAACACTGAAAAAATATACTTCTAACATGAATTTTAAACATTTACTTTATAAAAATGGGCAAATTTTAACAATATCTTATCACATAATTTAACCACGAATTTGTCTCCCACTATCAAAAAATTTATCTTACCCTCTGGACATTCATTCAATGCTACAGCAAGACATTTGATTTTCTATCTGCTATATGATATGAACGTAAAACATTCCGGAAATTTATTCTTTAGGAAATTATCTTAATATAAAAAATAACAAAACTTATTTTATTGTGACATTGTCACAATGACGGGCTGAGATTTTTAATATATAAAATATTACAAATTATGTGAAGAAATAATTTCTTATATATTGAGATAATCTGTTCGTGTTGAGTCGAATTTTATCTTTTCAACGTGAAAATGAATTCTTAATAATTAATTATATATATAAAAAATCTTACTAATTACAGATATAATAATAATAATAATGAAGGTTTGATTCCATTGCGAATATAAAATGTTATTTGTCTCATTTAGAAGACGAATGATACTTAAAAAAGCCATTAATTATTAATGATTTTCAACAGAATCAGCAAAAACTATAAATGATTTCCGAAAAGTAATTGTTTCTTACTTTAACTATAATTCTTGATAATTTAAACACCAACGTTTATGAATCTTTTATGATTTAGTGGCTTATATGAAAATATTACAAATTAATGTTATATGTTATTGCAATTCATCATGAAATCCAGATATAATGTATCATTATTTGATTAAGTTTACGTAAAGTGATGTCTATCTCTTCCTCAGTATCAGTCGAAAAGTGGAACTTAGGTAATTTATATATTGGCAATTATATTTTATTGAAACGATTATATTAAGAATTATATTAAAATAATTTGTATAACATATTCTTTGCAAAAAAATATTTTATTTGATTTTATAGAATCATCATTGATTATCCATTCGTGATTATCTAGGAGCGTCGTTACTATTGAGACGATATATTGCTTTATATTTCACTAACAATGTCTTTTATTTTTGCTTGAAAGTAATTAATTATATCTTTTTTTTTAAATACAAAATTTAGTTATATAGATAATAATTTCTCATTATACATGTATGTATAAAAGTATTATTATTATTATTATCGCTTTTTAAAATATCTTTTAATTAATTATTTCTCAAAGCATGCAGATATATATCAGCATTCATAACTTTATAATGTTCTGATAAAACTATTATTCAAAATTTACATATTAATACAGAAATTTCGTTTATTAGAAAAAATATCAGCAATAAAATTTTAAATTAGAAAAAAAGTCTATATTAATCAGTGTATTGTATTAATTTAGTTTTAGTACAGAAATTTCGTTTATTAGAAAAAATATCAGCAATAAAATTTAAAATTAGAAAAAAAGTCTATATTAATCAGTGTATTGTATTAATTTAGTTTTAGTACATTGATGATGATACTGAAAATTCAATAAAAGGCATTATTGTTGTTGTTATTCTTCGTTATATTGAAAAAACACTACTTTGAATATCACCTCATCCTTCTTAGATGTATATTTATTTGATTTTATTGAGAAAGTTGAAAAAAAATTCACTAAATCTCATTATTATTCAATTAAATTATATGAAGATAAATGTACTGTATATTTCAAGTATTAAACCATGCAACATGTACAGTACTCAAAAGGCAGCACATGTTGTATTGTCTACCAACAAAATGACGTGAGGAAGTAGAGTTGAAGAGATTTTCGTTCAATATGGACGAAAAGAATTAAAAATTGTTATTATTATCTGTTGTGTTTCGTGACATTCTCTATTCAGAATGATTGAAGACGTCTAAACACGATTTATTTTTGAATCGGAGTTCAGATGATCGAAGAACAAAAACTGTTATCAATTCGTGAGAATATTGAACCAATAGAAATATGAAATAGGATACACGAAAGATGTAAATCAAACGATAAATCAATTCTTAAAAGATTACTTCTTCATAAAAAAAGAAAACAGTTTAGTTTTTGAATCGATTTCGCATGTAAGACTTGACTCAAGTTTTTAAAATCGTTTAGTTTATTTTTGCTAATGATTATTAAGGCATGTTATTAACATAATATGCAAAGGTTGCCCCAAAACAACTTATTTAAAATTGGCACCGTTTGTACTTGCTAGAACTTTAGTAATTAAGTTGTGTGTGCAAATTATTAGATCTTAGACGGCCGAATGACTGAGGCCTTAAAAATAGCTCGTCGCCCTGGAAGAGTTTGAATCCCGGTCGGTTCGGAAAATTTCGTGCATGAGTAGAGTAAAATTATGAAGGGCCCATCCATCATCACCCATAGTCTCTAATGAGGTCCGACCAAATCCCTAACGGGCGTAATTTGGTTGGATTAAGTTGATGGGATAAGGCAAACAACACGAGAGAGATCTGCTGTGGAGATGTTTTACAGGAGGACTTCTTACGGGAAATTGGCTCCTATTTAGATGTTAGAGACGTGAAGAAAATCTGAAAAATTCACGCGGCCAGCCCGTTGTCAGGCATGAACCAAGAACCAACTAGTGATCAGTGATTATTATAACCCACCACTGCCGGCTGGATGGCCGAGCAATTAATTAAGGTGGCAGCCTACAGCTCTAGAGGTCCGGGATCGAATTCGGACTCTAAACGAATTCGGCAGCCTACAGCTCTAGAGGTCCGGGTCGAAAAACCTAGGAATTCTTCGGGAATAGTCGGTCTGGATATGTCGGACCTCATTCCTCACCACCGGCCATCCCAATGTTTGGCTTGCTAAAAAGACCCTCTTAGTGTCCACAGTATGAAGAACTAAAAAAAGTTTTTAGCTCCATTGACCTTTTTTTTTTTCAATCGGCATTAGGGAGCCATAATGGGCGTAAAAAAGGACCTCTTGTTTGCAGGGCAATCACAAATGAAAAAGTTTTAAAATTTGCATTCCTCTGCATAGTCTTGTTAACAATGGATTTGAAAAATGAACAACGATGCGATAAAACTTGTTTAAAGACAAGAATTCCCAATATAACAGTCACTGCGCAATATTGCAAATAAATATTGCACAGAATTGTGCGTTTTTTTTTAAATATTTTATCGTTCATCATGATAATGCTTACACGCATTCAGTTGTTGTCACAAAAGATTTTTATGAGAAAGATATTGCTTTGATATCTCAGCCTATTTAGAGCCACTACTTTAATCCATGTGAATTCTTCACTTTTTCCAACAATAAATTTAAAAAAGTAGGGAACAAGATTCAAGTTACAATCGGAAACTACTATAGCCCTATAGGGTTTCCGCAAACCGTTCTAGAATATATTTTTTGGTAAGTGCAGGATATTGGATCCACTACATTCGTAAAGGGAGTAAATTGAAAACAAATATTTGTCTGAGTGGCATTAAATGTAGGCTATTTATATTCTTTTATTAAATATACTATTGTTTTGGGAAACCTTTGTACTTTAAAACAATTTTGCTATAGAAATCTCTTTTGTGAAGTATTGCAAAATATAGATACAAAATAAAATTTCTTGCCCCTGTACATCGTACTTTCCTGTTAGTAATAGAGTCGTCCCGGTCGTCTATCTCCTTTCAGAGGAACTTTCGAATTGAAATAACGTAACTTCCGGATTGCATCAGAAGCTCGTATATAGTTAATCGGAGCCGCCTGCTCCCTAGCTTTGGTCTCGACTTTCATCTATCTAACTCCGTTCTGGAGATTAAGAAAGAACAGACAACGGACGACATAGGTCTACAATTTTTTCAAATTGCAGTCCAAATGATGATAATTTTGTATTTACGCTAAACAAAATCTGGTGTAATAATTTTATATTTATTAATTGGCAAATTCTTTTTCAGGTGACATTGAGAATTTTTCTAACAGAAACATGCTATCTGTCTTCCTGCTGGCACTACTATTTATACATCTCTGACAGTAAGTGATTTGTTTAAAAATTTTGAAAATTAGTTTTGCCCCTTATTTTAAATTTGTTTTATATCTTTTACAGTTTGCAACAAGTGGGATGAATGTTCCAGAATTTTTTCTAAAAATGTATAACAAAACCAAATTTTGAATACCAAAGACTACCAGCAAAAATAATCTTTTTGTAAATACTTTCAATTTAAAAATAACTGAAGAATGTTTTTTTAAATTATTTTATTTATATTTTAATATAAACCCATGTTATTCTTATTTAAATTGAAAATATGCAACAATTATTATTTATTAAACAACTTCAAAATTTCAATTATGCAAAATTTTGATTATTATTCTTGTATAAAAACAGAAGCTAATGAAGTAAGCTGTAGATTAATTTGCCTTGAAAAAATTTAATATAAATGAAAATAATAATATATTTAAATAACTATATTTTATATGAACAGTTATGCAAATTTATTTCATATATACAATTATAGACTATATATTATTAAGCCAAATAAAGTGTTAGTTAAAAATTTATTAGAAATGCAAATTACTGATATTTGTGTAGAAATTTGAGAATTTTTAAATTATTATTTGCATTAAAGATGTTTATAGTGCTGTAATATATTATATAAAAGGTATTTGATTGTAGAGATAATTTTTTTTTTAATAATATCTATAATATAAATCATTTGGTATTAACAAAGGTAAAAAAATAACTGAAAATATGGTCACGTCTCAATACAAAGTATTTTTAGATCCTTAGAAACCAACAAAAGTTCAGATTTCATGTAATTTTTTACATTATTTTAATTTTCTTTTTCGACCTTTTTTCTTCTTTTTAAAACCTTAGACAATATAATTTGAAAAAAGCATTTTGAAATTCTAAAATTTATATTAAAGAATTATAAGTATTTTATAATGAAACTTTAATTTTGTAAAATATATTTACATTCATTCAAGACAAACAGATTCAGGTTTCATATGCTTGGATATTTAATTTTTCTGATCCATTGTATTTCGTGGATTTAAACAAAAACCTTTAGTAGACAAAGTAATTTTGAAAATGTTCATCAAAAATATTTATTATTTCTAATACTTTTATATAAAACTGCCAGTAGATAAATTCTTTTCATTTTTTTTTTTAACTTCTCAATATTTATTATATTATAAAATTTGTATTATTTTATATTGTTAACTTTAGAGACAAAATACATATAGCTTAAAAATTTTAAATTATTTATAAAAACAAGCATGAACTATGGAATATGCTGCAATGGCAATTATATCTTTTGATCTATATTATTAGATACATTCTGTATAGTTATAATGTGTATAGATAAAAAGTTATGATTTTCATTGTGCAATTTAAATACCATTGATCAATATGATTTTACTTCTTATTAAAATTTCATTTTCAGAAATGTGTTTTAATTATTACTTTCAAGCAGAAATGCTTTGAAATTTAATAATAATTAGAGCTTCTATAACAGTAATTTATATATCAATATTAATCAGTTTCTTCTATTAACCTGTCTTATTTATATTACTTTTTATCTTTCCTGATTTGGATAACATAGTTAATAAATGAAATTTGTTTTATATTTAAATTAACTAAATAATAATAAAATAAATATTGCATTATTTACCTATATAATTTCATACAGTAATTTCTTAAGATGTTTAATGGAAGAATTAATCATAGCAATAATGAATAATCTGAACTTCACTAAATATATAAGAATTAAGTCTGAAGTTTTAAAACTTTTGTTTAATGATATCTAAATAATTATAAATGCAAATTATTAATACATTAATACATATGCTATAAAATATATTTATGTACAATAAGTGTAATTGTAATTTTACAAGGTATTGTTATAGAATATTCTTATATAAAGAATGTCTACAAACAAATTATAAAAATTTTATATAAAATAGCTTTCATTACAAAATTTACTAAATATGAAGAATATTAATTTGTTTATTAGAATTTATTAACCCTTAATTACATAACTTAATGAGAGAATAATCTCAATATTTTTTCATCTTTTTTTTAATTTGATAACTAATAAATTAAATATACAAATTTACTATGTGTGTATATATAATATACATATACAAACACATATATTCATTCAGGATATAAAATGACTGCCTTAAATCAAGTATTATATTTTGCATAATTTTAAATAACTCTTTCAGAAAATTTCACATAATTTGTAAAAAGTATATTTGGCATCATGTATTAACAATGATTAAAATGAAACAATCTAATTTATTTTTAATTTTTTCTACTTAAAATCATGTATTTAATTATTTCTACCATAAAAGAGATGAAAAATTATATTGTAATAGAATTCATCAGGATAAATTATATTGTTATATCATTGATCGTTGCTATATTATTGTATTAACATACAATAATAAATTTCTTAGGAATACTATGCAATTGGTACTTTCTAAATAGAAAGTAACAGTTGCAGTTAAAGCTTATTAATCCTTAAATTATTATTAAATCTAGATTATGTAATATTTTAAGGCAATGTACAGACCTAAAAATCTGAATTTTAAATATCAAATGATTACATTGTCATACAAATTACAGTGTAGTTGTAAAGTGTAAGTTGTACAATGCAATTTTTAATAACTATTTAATAAATAATTTTCTTATTGGAGAAAGTAATAAAATAAATTTATTTTTGTAGTAAATAGAACAATGCTATGAAATTAGAAATGGTAAGATCATGTTATTTATGTATTCATATTCTAAACCTATAGCTCTCAAATGATTAGTAGTGAAATTTTTGAAGACATTAATATTATGCAAGAAAATTTATGATTAAATTATCCTGAAATATCTAGTATAAATATTTCTTTAATTTTAAAAGCCATCATGCAAAAACAAAACTTGAATATTTTTTAAATTTATAAACTGAAAAATTTGCATAAATTAATAGAAGAGTATTAATAATGTTTCTACTATAAATTTGAATTACAAACTTGAAATGCTATATTTTAATAAGCCAACCAAACAATCAGAATGAAAATAATTACAAATTTAAATTAAATGAAAGAATTCTTACATACTTTGATAAAAGATTTGCCTTATTCAGTTATGTAATTAAGAGTTAATAAATTCAATACAATTATTACCATAAGGTACATTACATTGAAATTTTTTTAGTTTATTATAACAGAAAAAATTTGCAGCTGCTTCTAAAATGAAAAAATATTCAACTCAATTTTTTTGTGATATAAATTATTAAAATGCATTGAAATATATCTAAACAAACATTTTTTATTTTTAATAAAAAAATGTTAATATGAAATTCTGGGATAATAAGATAATGGGTTATATATTTTGGAATTTGATTATTATTGTTCTGTATGAGAATTTTTTTTAATTGTACCAAGAAAATTTAAAATTATTTTTTATTATATTATTGTATATATTTACTTAGTATCAAACTTATATAATTATTTATGGTTATTTTGTATATTAATTTTCCAATGCATGAGTAAATTAATCCTAATATATAAAACAATGTATATATTACGATTTTGTAATTCACTAAAAATTTTCTAATATATAAAAATTTTGTTAACATTTTACTATTTTTTAAAAAAGGGAGAAAAAAAAGCACAATCTAAGCACCAAAAATAAAATTGAAGAATTTGGGATTAAAAAAAATTCATGAAACATCATTTTATAATAATTAAAAAAATACTTAAGTTCATAACATGAATTTTTAAAAAAATTTATAATGCATTATTATATTACATAAAAGAAATTATTACTATGCAATTTGTATTTGATTAAATACTTTTTAATCCAAGATCCTTCAATTGAAATTTGCTAGTCATATATAATATACAAATCATAATGTATATACAAATTAAAATATTGTAATTAAAAGCTTTTGTAATGTATTAAAAATAAATAAAATGGATATTGTAAAGAGATGTTATGAAATACTGTTTTACTAGATTAAATTTGAACAACAAATACTGTACTGTACATAAATAAGGAAGTTTATAATTTCAATACTGTATTACAAAAATAAAAATAAACACACTATTATCAAGCAGCATACAAAGCATTTGTTTATTTTGACAATTAAATTAAAGTCACAGTGATCTTATAAAATTTCTTCTACTATATACAATGGTTGAAGAAACTAATGCTAGGCTCATTTTTTTGCTCATGTTTCCATATATGTAAAGGCCCAGATGAGCAACCATTCCCTTTTTTTTTTCTTTTTTTAAAAAAAGCAAAAACTTCCTTTTTTTTTTGATAAAAGGCCAGTGAATATCTACATAAATGCAAGAGGAAAACAGAAAGATAAACTGAAAATAAATGTACGTAGTACATTATGGTATTAAGAAAGTATTTTTCATTTTACATGATTTACATTTGCTGTTAACTCTTGCAGGCTTCTCTTTTATATTTGTGCCTGTTGTATAAACATGATCAAATTTTGTGGTAATAACCACATTTTTCTTTGAGATTAACTATAATACAAGATATAATATAATGGACAGCCCACAAGACAGATTATCTATGTATAATTTGTCTTGTGTTAAATATCAAATCACAGTTTATTATTATTTACATGCTACATAAAATTGGCTTATACAAAACATTAAAAAAATCACAAAAATCATATTTTACATATATCTGACTGGCCAGTTAACCATTTGCAATTTTGGAATCCTTGCAAGATATACCAATGATGGTAAGGTCAAAACACTTGTTCCTTTGAAGAATTCTGATGCTGCTTCAATGTAACAATAACATACTAGAGTCTTTTGTGCAAATAATGCACAATTAATCTGACTATCATGGGAATATAACTAAAATTGGGAATTTTCTGTTCCCAGAAAAATTATTATTAAAAGTATGCAATATTGTTCTTTCCATCAGATTTACCATTTGCATCATTTAATGGTAAAGAAGATTGATCATCATTATCATGTGAAGAAGTTTTATTCACTGATTTATTTTCATCAGTTTCTGCTTCATTATCAAGATCAGTAACTTTACAGGTTTGTATTAAAATGGGACATTCACCAGATGGAGCATCAACAAACATTTCTTCATGATCTAATGTTTCTCTATCTTCTGTTGATATGTCTTGTTTCTCTTCTTCTTCTTTACTTGCAACTGTTTCTTGTAATACTAATAATAAAAGAAATATTTGCAATTAAAATATATCTTTAATATACATAAAAGCAGAAGTAACAATAAATTTCATTAACAAAAAGAAATACCTAAATTTTGCATTGGTTCTAATAGCTCACATTGGCCTTCTGATGTCGATGATGCTATAGAGATAAAACTACTTGGACGAGAATATATGCTGGGATTACTTGGAGATTGAGATCGCGTACTACATCGGCGATGAGCCTCATGAAGTAAATGAATTTGTTCTTGCATACAACGAAGTTCTTTTCTCATTTGTTTCCTTTCTTCTTCTTGTTCTGTTACAATTCCCTGATAATAGCATTAATTATTATTAAATAAATGATATTAATGTGACTTTCTCATAAGAAAACCTTAGTGCATTTATTACACATAATCTGTTTACTGGATTATATAATAAATAAATATCTCAAAAATTAAATTGAAATATAACAGAATATCAGAATTGCAATATTTTGTTAACAAATTATTTGATACAATATGTAATACTTTAAAAATTATTTAATTTTAAAAACATGCATTTAAACAAACAGTGAAATTAATGTATTAAATATGTGAAAAATTTTTAATATATAGTATATCATAATGCTTAGACTATTATATATAAAATAGAAACTGTCATGACGAATTTAAAATTTTTGTATTATAGATAAGAGTTAAAATAATAATAATTTTTTACATGCTTCAAATCTACATATTATAATTTTTCTTACATTACAAGGTGTGACAATAAAGTTTTGTGAATGCCAAAAGAAAAAAAAAAAACAATGATTGCATTGCATAAAGAAGAGTAAACAAAACTACTGGTGTTCAAAGTAATCACCCTGTGATACAATGCACTTTTGACAACATTCATATAAATAACAAAGAGATTTAGAAAAATCTTTTGGTATCAACTTTATGACGGATGTCTGGAATGCCTGCAAATTTCTGCCCCTTCATTGACAGTTTCAATCATAAAAACAAAAGAAAAAAAAAGTCAGCTGGAGCCAAATCAGGTGAGTAAGGTGAATGATTCAGTTCAACAATTCCATGCATAGCCAGAAACTCTTTCATTACTGCAGCTGCATGAGGTTGGACATCGATTTCTTCTTTACAACAATCAGTTGAGAATTTTCCTATAGAGTTTGCCCTTCTGAGTTGAATCCTCTGTGGATCAAGCCATCTTTATCAAAAATGGCAGTGAGCACAATTTTCATCTTTCAATTTTGTGAACGAACATTTTTGAGACATTGGAGACCTGACACCTCTCCATTCCATGCTTTGTCTTTTCGTTGCTGGGTTGTATTGAAAGCACCAGATCTCATTCCCAGTTATTATTGACCGCAAGAATGCAGCATTGTTCTCACATGCCAATGAAACTGTTGTGTGTCCAGTTTTTCCTGCTTTTATTCCACTGTGAGTAGTAGATCTTGTGCTTCCCTAAGTCAACTGTCAATATCTGATGGATTGTTTTCCGGTTTATACCTTGTTCTTCAGACATCATGCAAACACTCAGTTGTCAATCCTGCAACATCAGATTACAAACTCCTTCCACATTATTGGATGACTTGGAGGTTGTGGACCATCCAATATAGGGGCACATCTTTAAGAGATTCATTTCCTTCACAAAAATGTTAGAACCAATCATAAACACAATTTTTTGTCACTGCTTTGTCTCTGTAAACAGTTTTCAGCATGTCATGAGTTTCTGATGCAATTTTACCCAACTTAAAGCAAAACTTGATGTTGATTCATTGCTCCATTTCTCATTAATGACAACCATCCCTTCCAAAGCTCATGTAATCATGTGCAATGTCTGGGGTACTCTGCATGTAGTTTCACTTTCCAAGATCACTCACCTTAACAGTAACATTTTCATTCACTGAACTTTATTGTCACACCTAGTATTTAAAAAACCATAAACATGAAAATAAACTGTGAGATTTTGAGTTAATATTTCTTTTCTTCTGTATACTCAAATAATGATATATTTTATTTAATAGATACATGTCTTTAATAGAAAATAAGATATATATAACAATGATCAAAATTATTAATCTGTAAAAAATCTATGTTATATTAAATATATTGATAGTGATGTGTATGAAATAATCTTTTACAGGCTAATATGTACTGTACAAGTATGTACTTATTCATCACTCTAAAATAGTTTCACTTATTTTTTAACAGAACACAAGGCAATAGCTTTAAAAAAAATTTTCTTATATAGTATAGTTAAAGTTTATAAAAACTGTTTTTAAAGTCCAGCATTTTTATAAAAGATTTATCTGATTTTTGAGTTAGAGTTTCCTATTTAAAAAATAACAAATATAAGTAATAAATATTTTACCAATAATTTTGTCAACTGCCTATCTATTGTACAAGAGATATTCTTTAATTTTTCAGGAGAGGCTAGCTTTGGAAAAGAAATTCTCTCTTCTGCTTGAGGTGATGATGATGCAGTAGTTTCTGAAGATTCATTTGATGACACCACTAATAAAATAATTATTATAGAAATAATACATTATATTAGCTTTAATAAATTAAAATGAAAAATAAAATAGATAAATTTTTTAAAAATCATTTTATAGTTTTCCAGGTGGTGAAGAAAATGTAGAATAATAGTAATTATTGTTTTATTCTAAATTCAATAAATTCATGATTTATCTATTTATTTTACATTTAGCATTAAATTATACTATCAAAAGTTCTCAACTTGAATAAAAAAACTGACAAGATTTCTTGCACAACTTTCCTGGCATTCAAATTGGAAGTTAATGAAAAAATTGTGTAACACCATCTGTTATGAGATTTTGCTATAAAAAGTATCTATATTTTTAATTATAATGAAACGAAAAACGCTTAATTTTGAGAGTAGAGATGTGTTTAAATAGTAATTGTCAGGTTACACATTTGATAATGGTAATTTTGTCTTTGAAAGTGTAGCAGCGAGTTGAGTAACTCAGTTGTTACGAGATGTTATTTAAAAAAATAACTTTTATATTATTAATTATAATAAATAAATTAAATTGTGTGTAACACCNTAATTATTATAAAATATAAAAAAGTCCTATTTTTTGGGGAAGGGTACATTTTCAATAAAATTGTAAATGCTAATAATGAGTAAAATTTTAAATAAGTCTGACTCCACTCAAGATATGACCTATATCCTTTCTATCTCCCTCTATTTATAATCTATGAAATGTAACAGAATAACTCTCATATATAGAAGGATTACTGTCAAATTTCAAAGTTTTTGGTCCACAAGGTCCTGATATATAAAGCAAAACACACAAAATTTTGTTTCTTTTTTCTTTTTGACATTTTTGGAATTGGGAGAGCTTAAATGTCAAGAAATGAAAAAACCTCGCAAGACAAAATTTGACCAATTACAATATCTCCCTTCTGTTATGTAACAGCTGGTAAAGTAACATGTTTATTTCTAATTTGACAAATTTACTGGAAACTATATAATGATATAATGTGATAACTATACAAAAAGTTTAAAATTATCTTCAATTGTGAAGAATTCATTCAATACAAATACAGGTCAAATGACAAATTTATCTATCAAGAATTTATACACTACGAATGATAATAGTAATGAATGAATAATTACAAAATTAATTGTTATGATGATAAATTTAAAAATATTAGGTACATTAAACTTATTTCAAACATGCGTAAAAGCATTTGAATTTTGCATTGAATCTTCTAAAAGAATTTCTGTATTTTTTGGCAATGGTACTATCAAAATAATATATTAGAGTGTAATAATAACTTTTATTCATGTGTATAGGAAATGTAATAAAAATGTTTGAAATCTGTGCTGTGGAATATTTTGAAATTAAAAATGCTTAAATTATTTATATTTTTAAGAAACAGAAACAGAAGTTACTTGAGAGAATATAATAATAATCGTTTTTATCATAATTGAAGTTAATCAAAAATAATCTGACAATCACTTAAGTAAATTAGAAAATTACAAATTAAGAGAATTTTACAATTGGTTTTAGTTAATGAAATCAACTACTTTTTAGAATCAAAGGGTGTATATAAACTACTTTCAAGTAATACACTATGTAATTAGCCTTTTAATAGATTCAATCAGAATTGATACTAGAAAATAATATTGCTAAGAGAAGTGTGTCTGATTGTTTTTATATATGAAACAAGTAAAACGGCAAGGCCGTGTTTGGGACAAGACTATGTCTTGGAAACTCACTACTAAGTGGAATCACTTTGACGCTCAAGGCAGGTCTTATTCTCATTCTCCAATCTTCTTTGGTATCACTGCTTTTGGGCGCAATCGTTCAAACTTCGCTGGCCACGACCACAACATCATCCACGATGCATTTTTGATGAAATTAACCTATCCAATTTCGAAATTTCTCTCTGTTGCGTGTTGGCCTGGGTTGAACTTTTGTCAATGTGTAACGAAAATTTCCCGTTTTTGAAAAAAATAATTGTGGCATATCATCCCAAATTATTTTTTTTATTTTGCACAAACAATATACAGTTTAACCCATTATCGGATGTAACGACAACCCTAATATAACGTCAAATTTTTATCGGTCCCACAATTTTACTATACTAGATAATGTTAAAAAAACCCACTTGTAATGACATAAAACCGTTTTACGTCATAGTTGAAGCACTCCCAAATTTACAAAATTAGATTACAAATTTTATTTAACATAGAAGAAACTACATGTTCAGTCCTAAGGTCAGAGTTCACTTCTTAGAATGACTGTGGGTGGTACTCTTCCCCACCTGACTTCGGTAGGGTGGGGTGCCTGTTTTGCCTGTTTGTAGAAGAGGGTTGCCATTTTGTATTTTATTTTGACTCGGTTCTCGGTCCCTGACTACCTACAAGTCTGGATTTTTTATGCGCAAATGATTTAAGCATCAAATACTCTGGGCCAAATATCAACTCTCGATATGTACTCCTTCATACCTCTATGCTGGTAACATAAAACGACAGTATGATTTTATAGACAAGACATAGTCTTGTCAACAATGATGTGTATTGACTTCACTCAATTCCACTTTATATTTCAGTTTTTTTTACGAAATTATTAATACTGTTTAATAAAAATTCTAAATAATGTTTTATAATCAATGATAATTTTTTTGTACTAAATGGGTATAGGTGAAAAACTTGTATATTGTGTATAAAAATGTAAAAAAAAATATCACTGAAACAGAAACATTTATAAAGTGTGACAGTCTTCTAAAATGGATGTATATATGAAACTAAATATAAGTATGAAACTAGGCTGTCTCAAATAAAGTCATCCAGCTTGTCCCAAAGCAGATACTGAAAACTGCTGAACAGACAAACCAAAACTTGAATCATGAAATAAAACATGAAGAGCAGTAAAATTGAGTAAATTCTTTTGTAGTGAGTTACACAACTATAGTTCTAAATACATGACATTAACAAATTTTTACATAAATGCAATTTGTTATGTTTTCATTCTGTTTTTCCTTTTTATTATATTAATCTTAACCATAAATATATTGATTTCAAAATATTTCAATATGAATAAAATTTAAATGATGATAATTACGATAAATTAATATCAAAAGTCTTAATAATTAAACAAACAAATTAACTTATAAATTTTGATGATATGTTAAGTTTTTATTTTAAAGAAAAGTTTTATTAGAATATAATAAATAGTTTTAAAAACCCTGATTATTTTTATTGTATTAATAAAGGCACTTCACTGTCCCTCCAGACTCAGACTCAACTATAGCTAATGCATTGCAATCTGTTTAGTAATAAAATAATACAATAATGAAATTAAGTAGATCTAAGAAAATAATATAGCTTTTAGAAGGGATTCAAACTCAAAACACTTGTACATTAATGTTAACTGTTCATAAGAATTTGGAAGAAAGTTACAATGATTGATTTTTACTTATCAATAAGAAAATTACACTCTATCTTCAGACATTAAAATCTATAAATATAATCTCGATGTCATTGATTAAAAATTACAATGAAAAAATATAATTTATTTTTTGATTATTTTTAGTTGTTATTATTATTATTACATTCAAATTTAGATATACTTACATTCTGTTTTAGATGAACTTACAGAATCTTCAGAACACATAAATGTATCATTTACTAATGCAGTTAACTTATTTGCTAAAATCAAGAGAGAAGAGAAAAAATATCACTAAATTTGCATTAATTATATTATAAAAAAATTATTTACTTATCTGCAACATTTAAAAAATAAATCTAAGTATTATGTATAAATTTTTTCTTACTATCTATATAGCAATGATGATTCAGTTAATATTAGCACTAATATTTTTGTTACAAAAGACAATGTATGAACATGTTTCAGTTTCAAAAAATGATGATGTATTATTAATTAATTTAAATAGGAACTATTAAATCAGGGGTGAGCAACCTTCTAATCAATGGGCCAATTTAAATTTTAAAATTTTTTGGCGGGCCGCACATAAAGTAACACTTATTAATAATTTACAAAACTTTATTTATAATAAACATTAGAATAAAAAATTTTAAAATTTAAAAAAAAGTAAAGATTTCATATACAAATTTTAATGCAAAATAAAAACAAACAAGAAAAGAACAGAAAAACGAATTTACTTGAAATTTTTAATGAGAAATTTGGCACTGTTTTTTCGATACAAGCTGATCAATATCAGCCGGAATTGATGAGGTAGCTACACGTACGCAGCTTTCTAATCGTGCATCACTCAGTCTTGATCGGTGGTCATTTTTGATTAATTTCATGGTTGAAAATAATTGTTCGCAAACATACGTACTTC